TGTTGACATGAGTGATGCTCATGAATGTTTATGTATGATTGAATGAGTAATGCTCATGAATGTTTATGTATGATTGACATGAGTAATGCTCATGTATAATTTGAAGTATTGGGCGTACTTTTGATCACTTGGTTGGTGGTAATAGTGGCAAGTTGCCGAATAATTTTGGAGTACTAGGGGTACTTTTGATCATCTGGTTGGTGCTATTTTGGGCTTATGGGCCTTCGCCCTCCACACAACATTCCAGCCCATTTATTTTGGGCTTTGCCTTTTTTTTTTTTTTTTTTTTTGGGTTTATACATATGTCTCCGAAAGATAAGAAAAATAAATCACATCATTCAAAAACAAGAAAAGTAAATCACATCATTCTGGTAGGGTGTTTATTCCTTGCTTTTGCAGTGTGGGTGTTTATTCCTTGCTTTTGCTTTTCTCTTTTCCACCGCACCTTTCTTTTGCTTTTGTGTTTTCTCTGCAACTTTGAAGCTTGCCTCACTTGAAACAACGAATAAGGGTGATAGCTTGCACCTTCCTCTTTTGCTTTTGTCGTTCTCTTTTCACTTTCTCCAAAAATAATTTCACATGGCATTATCCTTTTGCTTTCTCACATCCATGAAACCGCGAGCACAACTTTCTCCTTTTGCTTTCGTTAATTTTTCAATTAACCACTTTCCCCTCACACAGTCCATTTCCAGATCTCTACTTTCATCATTGGTTTTTCTTGATTGATGTTCCTCTGCAGATTTTGAGCTTAAGATCCACCAAGCACATGGAGGGCCATCACACGGTCACCAAGCTGACCCATCTTAACCAGAGCCCACGTCAGCAGCAGCGCGCGGGTCGGCAAGCGAGAGTGAGAAAAGCAAATTTGATTGCTCACCTAGAATGTACCGATCCTTTATATTTGAGGTCTAATCTGCATCTAAGATGGAGGAAGTCAAGCTAACAACTTTGTAGCAATTGCACAGCCCTGTTGATGCTTCACTGTTGTTGTTGCTCTTACATCTGAGCCCTAATCTTCCTGATCTCATCCCTTGGAGGATTCACCACCCCGAAGTTGAAGATTGCTTCAAGTATGCGAATTTGCTCCGGCTTTGGGTTCCATCTGGGTTTTGGCTCCGGACTGCGCTCTTCAAATCCATGTGTTACTGAATTTAACTGCTTTTTCTTCAATTCAATTTGAAATTTTTCTTAAAATCAGTCTTCTAGATCTCTTATTGAAAGAACCCAGAAAAACCCAGATTGGAAATGGGGCTGCTGCCACAGAACCAAATCAATCCCATTACCTGTAATGTAAATATTGGTGGGTTTCTTTTCTGGGGTTTTTCAATTGGGCAAATGGGTTTTTGTATCCAAGCTCAGATAGTGAGACAGGAGGCAGAGCAGCACTCTTCCCCAGAAGCACTTGCCCCTTTTGAAAAACTCCAAACAAAAATGGGAGATCACAACTCACAAGCACAGAGGCTAATGTGTGTTTGTGCAGTCCAAGGGGAATGGAGAATAAAAGAAAGGCACATGGAATTCTAGGGATAGAGGCAAGCCTCTAGGCCACGGTGGTTCGAGCCGCAGAGGAGTGGAGGATGGATCTGGCGGCGGCGGCGAGGACGACATGGTTGTGGGCTGGTTAACGGGATCTGCTGGATTGACGTCGCATGGTAAACCTTAGTGGACTCTAATGGTAACGGAACATGCTTGACGAGAATCTCTTGGCTCTGGTTTTGGGTTTGAGAAGACGATCTGAAACTCAAAGTCAAAGGGGCTTGCTGGAACCGGGCATGGCCAGTCCGGGTCCGACCAAGAAGAAAAATGACCTTCTTGAACTTGGAAACAGCAACGTCCGCGACGGCTCTACAGTCTATGTCCATAGCCGTCAACGAATATTTCCCTTGGTGCTGATTTTGCTGTGCTTGGGACAGCAAGCGAATAAGCTTCTCGACGCTTTCAAGGCCGGAAGTCGCTTCCTACACGGCGTTCTCTTCCAACTTGGCGGAGAAGCTATTGGTGTTGCTGCTGGTGATGGTGTTTCTGTAACCCATGAAATCAACGGCCATATCTGACCTTCTCTAGCATAACAAGGAAAAGGAAAAGTGAGAACAACAGAGAAAGCAGAGAGAGACGGAGAAAAGGAGGAAAAGCCCAAGGGGGGAGGTTTTGGGTTCTTGGGTTGTGCAGATTCACGGTGGTGGGATGAAAAAAATAAAAGAGAACCGACATAGTTTTTTGTGTCGTTTTCCACAGACAGCGCCAAATGTTGATGCACAAAACCGGATGTCTTGGAACAACGTAAATTCGACCGTGAATCTGCAAGAAATGTAAATAACACAAGATGTATCATGGTTCACCCAAGAGAGAGCTCTGAATATGAGAGTGAGAGCTTTGACATGCCTAAGAGTTGGGCTCTCCTAATTGTGAGGGTGAGGAGTCCTTTTATAGAATAAGGACTCCTTACTTATTAAGTATTTGCCCCTTCCTTTATTACATAATTACATTTAAGTCCCCCGAGTATTTGTAAGAGATCTAAATACGGAGACCCTAAGTATGGTATAAACAAAAACTATTTGAAATCATCCAAAATTGAAAGGAGTAAAATCTAGTAAATTTCATATAAAACGTAGAGTAACTTTTATTAAAAAAACAAAAACAAACCAACGTGGGCTAGCATTATTAAGTAAATTACCCACAATTATTTGTGTTCTAAAAATTGACCTAGATGACCATCTTGGGACTGAACGGTTGGCTACCGCCGCAATTAACTCCTAATCGTTCATAAAAATTGCAAAGAATATTAAGCAGATACCTAGGCGGAGTTAGGTGGGACTGGGAGGGGTTGGGCCATGGCTAGCGGGCGCATGTGGAGAACGCCAGAATCTGAAAATATTTTTTGCTAAGCCAGCGTTGAGAGGAAGAAGATGACCTATTTGCCTTTGCACGATTTCTTTATAAGATGGCCCCCACGATCTTCTAATTTACTTGTTTTTATATTTCTTTAATATTTTTTCCATAGCTCTTAGGATCTCATGCGGGAATTGTGTGGATAACTAAATAGAAAGCCATTTGGTCTATTTGTTACATAAAATTTTCCTTGTGACGGGAACACGGGTAATACATCACGTGTTTTTATGTAAGTAGTGAAAATTTTTAATTTTTAAGTTATTAACTTTTTAACATACAAATCCCACCATTTATATAATGACACATAATATACCACCTCGTGTGCCAATCACATTAAAAAATCTCTCTCTTTGCTGATCAAATTGGGTACAAAACCAATTTTTTTATTTGTTAGGCTTGTTTTTACAATTTGTAGGCCTTTTTGGGCGGTGAGATCTGTGGACCTTTTGGGCTTTTTAATCAATTTATAGGCTTTCTTACAGATTGGTAGAATAGCACTTGTTACAATCCAACTTGTATTCTTTTGTTTTATATTTTATTTTTTTCTCACATTTCTAATATTATTATTTTGTAAGTGGAAATATCCCTTATTATGAAATAAATAATATATTTATTCAAATCTGTTTAGTTTGTCTAGTTGTTAGGTTTCAGTCTGCCATTCAACTAGCGCCTAAAATCTTTTAGAATTTTGACAATTATTCAGATGATAAGTAATGGCGTTACAGTGTTTTGAACGAAATCCAATTTTACCTTGAAAAAGTTAAGGTTGATTAACAGGTGTTAATCATGTTTGACAAAAAAAAAAAAAAAAAAAAAGAAGAACAGGTGTTAATCATGCATCCTTATTAAAAAAATATATATATATTTAAAATGTCAAATTAGATTACCCTACTCGGTTTAGCCACACGTCCCCCACCAATAAGACTATATTTTCTAGTTTATCTCTCTTAGGATAATGCATTAATTTTTGTTTTATTTGAGAACGTATAATCCATTAATTTAGTGATGTTGCAGTTCACATTAGCTAATTAAAACGTGTTAGACGTGATCCCTATTAATTTACTCCGGAAATTAAATGCGCACATGTCGTGTAACTCTCACAAGCGACTCAGATTTTACTCTTTAACTACACACGGCCGCCTGCGGTGGGGCCTTCAGAATATTAAGCGCACATGTTGTATTGCATCGTCACTTTTATGTTCTTTCGTTTACTTCACAGTGAAACGACCAACAATTGGATTGCTACCTGTGGATCGCACTTAGATGTCTTGGTAAATGTCCTGACATTTGTCCCCCAAGGCGGATCTCTTTCATCAAGGACACATGCTAAAATGATTCGATTTTTCAAATTTCATCTAATGGCTCATCTATTTTGATTACTTAAAAATTATGATAATTTTTTACTGTTGGATAAATTTTGAATTTGGAAGGTCCATATCACAAATGGTTTTGGTGGAAGAGATCCGGAGATGATCTCTTTCTGTCTCCCAAGTAACAAAAGACAAATGTTAAAGAGACTCTTTCAAAAGTAACACTGTTAATTGATTTTTTGTCACTTCATGTTTTTTGCACAATGTTTTATAATGTTGGCATATGAATTAACATTATATTATCAGGTGGCATCGAGTTTATGGAGAGTCCCAATTTGAGGATGAAGATCATCTTTGTGAGGATATGAGGGATCAATTCATCTTAGTCAATCATCGCACATTCTGAGACTAACTTTCGTTAGGTAATGTTTGTATTCAATTCTAAATAAAAATTTCAAAATAATTTTTGGCTGCATAATGAATGAACGGATATGATGAATTGATACCTAGGATCCTCACAAAGAGGGTCCATATAGGATCTTGTTCCTAATTTGAGAGTCTTTTTAACATTTCTAATAACAAAAATCAGACTTTTCTATCCGAACGCATGACGGTATTGGTGCAACTTGAATAAGAATATTTGATTTTGCTCGATTTCGAGCTGGAATATATTTTAAAATATACTGTCCAATTTAAATTCAAAATCTGCAAAATTCAAAAGAAAATTGAATTAGAATTGGAATATATTTAATATTCTGAATTCGGTCTAAAATTCTGAAACTTGCATAACTCGACATACACTTAATTTAAACTTGTTGACTTTCCATAAAAATTGATCGCATCATTGGCAATTGAAAGAACAAATGAACTTGTTTCAGTCACATACAAGCTACAATTATGTCTTACAAAAACAAAAACAAAAAAATCAAAAGAATATGAATTTTATTGTACTCAAATACTATGAGCATTCCCCGAATCTGAGGAATTATCAGTAGCAAAATCCAGCATCGTCATCCACTGTTGGAATTCCTCTTCCCCAATCTTTTCCCAGAGCTCATTTTCCTTCAAAATCGCCGTCGTTTCGACTTCCCTGGAAAATTCGACATTTTTGTTTCCCTGCTCGGTAACTACTTGCTGCTGCTGTTGATGTGGTGGTTGAGTTGAATTACTTTCTTGGGCCAACAATGTTGTGTCCGGAAACGGAAAATTGAGCTTTGCTCTGGGCCCACGGAACTCGATTGCAGCTTTGTCGTAGGCTCGGGCCGCGTCCTCGGCGGTTGTAAACGTGCCGAGCCAGACCCGAGTCGCCCGTCTCGGGTCTCGAATCTCGGCTGCCCATTTGCCCCAAGGCCTCTGCCTCACTCCCCTGTAGTTCTTCTTCACCCTCTTCTTCGGCCCCTTTTTGTAATTACCTCCCTTTTCCTCCTGAGAGTGAGCTGCTGGCGGTGGAGGGAACAAAATACACCCGAGACACCCCTTGATTTTGCAGACGTGGCAGGTGTCCAAATCGGACGGCGCCAAGAGAGTGTTGCTGTAGCAGTTAGTACTAGTAGTATATCGCGGTGAGTAAGTGGCGTGTGAAGGGAGGAGAGAATTCAAGTCCATGGTGGCTGATGTGGCTGTTCCAGCGACGACGTTTCGAAGCGTGGAGACCATTACCGCGTATTCTTGGTCTTGGGTAAGGCGGTGAGGCGGCGGCGGAGACTGAAATTGAAGTGTGGCCGGGTCGTCGGGCTGGGTATCGGAGAGCTTGAGTCGCTTGTAGGGATATTGCATGTTGTTTTGTTAGGAGAGAGAGACCGTAGAGAGAGAAAATCGAGAATGTTGTCGCGGTGGGAAAAGCTTTGAAATTGAGTTGGGAGAGAGAGTGGCGGGCGTTTATATTGGGAGGATGACATGGACGGCAGTTGTCTAACACCGTTTAGACACGGATTGGTCGCGCACGTGGGAGTTTTGGTTTTGTAGTGCGTTGGCCTTGGCAGTTGGCAGTGGACTGTCGTTTGCTTTTCGAAAGGGCAGGAGACACACGCGCCTCTTTGACCGTCGTTTGGGTTTCGAAAGGGCAGGAGACACACGCGGAAATTAACGTCCGTCTATGGATAGAGTGTACACGTGGCGCATTCTGAAGGGGATAGTGTTACTTTCCACTCGGGAAAAGAAGGTCTAGACCTTCCTTGTAGTTTTCGACCAACAGAAGATGTCTGACGAAGTTGCTCTCATCGTAATTGGTTACGCCTGTGTTTACGTCATCATCACTTGTTCTACACTATTCAGTCAAATATTTTTTTCTTGAAATCTTGAAAAGACACGACAATCATACACGGCTCGGATCAGGTAGCGACTAGCGAGTTCCATTTCACTAAGACTTTCCCATCTTCCTATGGTAGATTATACAGAGTTTCTGAGCCAGAAAGACATTATCTTTAGTGTAAATCTCAGTTTATTATATTAAATTTTGTGGTTTTCAACACTTGATACATGCAGTGTTTTTCGTTCTAGAGTCATACCTAAAGTGTTAATTTTGGGACAGTCTCATACATCCGCTAGTCAAACTGTTAACTCTGCCGTTAACTAATGACGTGGCGCCCATGTGGATAATGATTGGACGCCACGTGTCATTAAGGGTCCACGTGGAAATAAAAAAAAGAAACATAACCCCCTTCTTCTCGTGCGCAGATGATACCGTTTTGACTTTCTTAGTCTTCCCCTTTACCTTTTTCGCTGTCTTTTGAATCTCAGCGCTGCTCTTCCCATCCGTCGCCGATTCCTGGCTCGACTTTGGGCTCGCCTCCGACTTAGGGTTCAGGAACACGAAAACGTCTTTGTTGTTGCTGTTGCTTCGGAGCTTCAAGTCTCTACTTTCCACAGCTTCGAGAATCCTGTGGAATTGCTCTTGTTACAAGTTCCATTTCACGGCTCAGATCAGGTAGCGAGTTCCATTTCACTAAGACTTGCCCATCTTCCTATGATAGATTATACGGAGTTCGTGAGCCAGAAAGACATTATCTTTAGTGTAAATCTCAGTTTACTATTCTCAAGTTTCGTGGTTTTCAACATTTGGTACATGAAGTTTTATTTGTTCCAGAGTCATACCTAAAGTATTAATTTTGGGATAGTCTCATACATCTGTTAGTCAAACTGTTAACTCTGATGTTAACTAATGACGTGGCTCCCATGCGGACAATGACTGGACGCCACGTGTCATTAAGGGTCCACGTGGAAATAAAAAAAAAGAAAAGAAACAAAACCCCGCTTCTTCTCGTGCGCAGACGATACCATTTCAACTTTCTTAGCCTTCCCCTTTACCTTCTCTGCTGTCTTTTGAATCTCAGCACTGCTCTTCCCATCCGCCGCCGATTCCTGGCTCGACTTCGGGCTCGCCGCCGACTTAGGGTTCAGGAACACGAAAGCGTCTTTGTCATCGTTGTTGTTTCAAAGCCTCAAGTCTCTAACTCTCCACAGCTTCGAGGATCCCGTGGAATTGCTCTTGTTATGAGTTCCATTTCACGACTCAGATCAGGTAGCGAGTTCCATTTCACTAAGACTTGTCCATTTTCCTATGGTAGATTATACGGAGTTCCTGACCCAGAAAGACATTATCTTTAGTGTAAATCTCAGTTTACTGCCTTCAAGTTTCGTGGTTTTTAACATTTGGTACATGAAGTTTTTTTCGTCCTAAAGTCATACCAAGTGTTAATTTTGGGACAGTCTTATACATTCGTTAGTCAAACTGCTAACTCTGTCGTTAACTAATGACACGGCGCCCATGTGGACAATGACTAGACGCCACATGTCATTAAGGGTCCACATGAAAAAAAAAAAGGAAACAGAACCCCCTTTATTCTCTTGCGCAGATGATACCGTTTCAACTTTCTTAGCCTTCCCCTTTACCTTCTCCGTCGTTTATTGAATCTCAGCGCTGCTCTTCCCATCCGCCGTCGATTCCTAGCTCGACTTCGGGTTCAGGAACACGAAAGCGTCTTTGTTGTCGTTGTTGCTTCGGAGCTTCAAGTCTCTGACACTCCACAGCTTCGAGGATCCCGTGGAATTGCTCTTGTTACGAGTTCCATTTCACGGCTCGGATCAGGTGGCGAGTTCCATTTCACTAAGACTTGTCCATTTTCCTATGGTAGATTATACAGAGTTCCTGAGCCAGAAAGACATTATCTTTAGTGTAAATCTCAGTTTACTATCCTTAAATTTCGTGGTTTTCAATATTTGGTATATAAAGTTTTTTTCGTCCCAGAGTCATACCTAAAGTATTTGTTTGTACCATACTTGACCAATTCCGAAACTACTGAGCACCGGTCAACGTTATACCATCAAGGACCCAGAAGAGATTCCCTTCAACTAGGAGGTCAATCACAATGCGACACGTGTCGACATCAGAAGCCAATCACAGCTCGACACGTGTCAACATCAGAAGCCAATCACAACACGACACGTGTCAATGTTAGGACAAAACTAGAAACTCTCCTCTATAAATAGGGATCATTCTCCCACAATAATCTCTAATGTCATTTTGTACTAAACTATTCACTAGAACTCACAAAATGAGAGCTTGAACCTATGTATTTGTGTAAACCCTTCACAATTAATGAGAACTCCTCTACTTCGTGGACGTAGCCGATCTGGGTGAACCACGTACATCTTGTGTTTGCTTTCCTGTCCCTATTCATTTACGTACTTATCTTCACAAGTGATCGAAGCAACCAAGCGAAGGTCACAAACTTGACACTTTCTGTTGTACCAAAGTCCTCGCTGATTTTGTGCATCAACATTTGGCGCCGTCTGTGGGAAATGACACTTATTCCCACTCTCTTCAGCTTTGTTAAGCTGGTTTCCACCGCTCATACACTTTTTTTTGGCCAAACATCTCTCTCCAACATGGGGAGCGAAAGAAGCCATAGCACACAGAATGACACCCCCATTGGACCTAGTATGAAGCAACGAAAGCAGGAAGGAAATAGAGTTACTCTTCAAGCTAAAGTCGATGAGTTAGAAGCTCAGAACAACAAGATAGTGATGAGGAACGAAGTCCTCCAGGAGCAGTATGAAAAACTTTTCGAGATGCTTCACGAGGCTAGGCATGCTCAAGCACACAAGCTCGTCGCCCCTGCTGAGGTCAACAATCATCTGAATGCCCCCCCAACACGGAGGGTCACCGATATCCAACACGGATATCCCTGATAGGGATCGAGCTACACATCAATGTGATAATCAACATGAGACTTCTCTCAATCCAGCTGCTTCAACCCGAAGCAGAAGGAGTAGAGGAAAGCACCACCTCACAGAAGGAGTGGAAGGATCAAAAGCCGTCTATCGCGATTAAGGCTGGGCAAACGGGTCCTGGACCTGCGGGTAGGGGCGGGTAATACGGGTACGGGGCGGGTACGGGTCGGTTCTTAGTTTTGTAAAAATAGAACGGGGCGGGGCGGGGCGGGTAATTGAAGTTTTAGGGGCGGGCCGGTTCCAAAATTATAGGATCCGCGGGTACCCGGACCGGCCCGTTTGTGTTAGATTGGACGGACGAGATTTAATATCATCTCTCCATCCAATCTCAACCGTCAGTTCAAGTTTTCAACTTTCAATTCAACCCTAGCCAACCTTCCCCGAGTCCCGACTCCTGAGTTCCAGAAGCATCCATCCTCAGCCTCAGCAGCCTCAGACCAGTCTCTCGGATTCTCAGACTCCATCTCCCTGAGTCCCTCTCCCTATCCCTGATCCCTCTCCCTCGAATCCCTCTCCCTATCCCTTCCCTCGACTCCGACTCCGACTCACAGTGCTCACCTCACCACTCTCACAGTGCTCACCTCACTACGCTTTCAATTTTAGGTAAATCCGGTTTGTTCTTTTTTTTCTTCTCCGAAAAGAAATAAAACATGTTCAACACGCTGTCATTTTCAGTAGGACTCTGATGGATGCCTTTAATGTTAGTAGTAGAATAGTAAACAATCCAGATCCTAGTCAGGTGCTTAGATGAGTTCAGATATTTACTTTGTGTTTGGCAAACATTTAGTTACCTTGGTTTGAAATTTGAATTAAATGTCTCGATTAGGACAGTTGTTTGTTAAGGTTCAAGTTTGTATGCTGTCTTTGATACTGGGTTTCTTTTTCTCCCTAACTATTGATTGCAACATGCAACATAGAATTTATAACCTGCTATGTTGCCATTTTCTAACCTTGGATCCGTGTTGATAATTATGGTGAATGGCGTTTCTTAATGATTTTCTTTTATTTTGTGCTTAAATATTCTTGTTTGAATATTTTGTCTGATTTGTTTAACTGGTAGGGTAAGCATTTTTTATGTTATGATCAGTATAAATCAGAACATTGTGTTTAAAGTTTGAACTAAAAGGTGTTACTGCTTCTACGTTACCAGTTATAGAGAAACTAGCTCAATTTTGCTTACCTGTTGTGAAAATTCAGCCGTATCCAAACCCCTGGGGTTAGCAGTGAGACCTGTGAGGATAAGTGGGAAAGAGGATTAGGATTAAGATTAGATTAGGTCAAAGGTCAAATATCAAACAAAAAGTTAGTCTGATGCAAAGTTTTACTGATTTGGTTATTGTGGAATGGCTATGCTTGTCTTGGCGTAGCATCAAAATAACTTTCGTCATTAACTATCTTTGCTATCTTGTTTCATGTGTTCCTACTCTGATGCAAAGTTTCGTAAGTTGCTTCAAACGAATGGCTTTCCTCTATAATAAAATCCTTTTTCATTCATTTGGATTGTTATAAAAAATATCAATTTTTTAGAAGTCTGTTTTGTAACTTAGTCATCTTCTGGGATAAAATGTGAATATGAAATGTTAAGAGTAACTGCTCTTGGATGCCTATTGTCATTCTTGTATGTACTAACATTTGAAAATTTGAGTATTTTCGGTGGAAATTTCAAATGTTATTGGCAATTTAAAATTGCTTCAATGAATGAGATTTGAAAATCCTTTGTAGGTTACACATTTGCCTGAAGGGATGGAGACACTTCGAAACTTTTTGTTTGATATTTATCAAGTCAGTGCAGGATGGAGTATGGAAAATGTTAAGAGAAACTTTTTGTTTGATATTTGTCAATTCAGTTTCTTCTCTTGTACAAACAAACCCCTTCAAATTCGTTTCATTGATTTAGATCCTTTTTATTATGTTTAAAATGTGCAAAGTTATGAATGATTCAAATTTTTAGTAATGAGTTGACGTAGTCCCATAAATATTGAGGTAGTGTTGTATAACAAGATTATAGCACATCCATTAAGCTTGAATTCTGGTATTAGATAGTGACGTTTCAGTGCATTTTGGTTTTCAGTTGAACTATTTTCGCTTGGAGTGAGAAATCCAACGGCTTTTCCAACGGGGACCTTGGTTAGTTCATAATTTCATTGTACTTTTTGTTGGTATTTGCTTGGATTGACTTGGGAATGACACGTTTTTACCTGAGTGCAGGGCATTTCTTAAGTGTTTCTTTGCTGGAGTTTGCACATATGAGGACTCAAGTCCTTTTTGTTAGTAAAAAACAGATTGCAATCTGCACAGATTGCAAACTGCACTGCACAGATTGCAATCTGCACAAACTGCACTGCAATCTGCACAATCTGCACTGCAATCTGTACAAACTGCACTGCACAAATTGTAATCTGCACAATCTGCACAATCACAAACTGCACTGCACAGATTGCAATCTGCACAATCTGCACTGCACAGATTGCAATCTGCACAAACTGCACTGCACAGATTTGCACAGATTGTAACTGCACAGTCACACACTGCACAAATTAATAACATGATGATACTTCTCAGCCTTTTTGGTCTTTTGTCGGTCAACAATCTGTGTGTTGTGTGTTCACTCTGTTTAATTGTGCTGCCTGCTTCTGTTTCCCATCTCAGAGAGTAATTATTTCGAAATATCTTTATTTGATTAATGAATATAGTTCCATTATTTGATTTTTACAGATTTTTACATAATGTCTCAATCTCAAAGTCAAAGTACCCCTAGTAGTACTAATGTAGCATCATCTACGGCTACATCACCATGTCCTCCACAACCAACACAAGCACCCATACAGTCAAAACCATCAATGCCTCCCCCAAACCCCTCATCCTCTAGAAAAAGAAAAGCACCACCTATTCCAAAGACAAAACAACCAACTATAATAGCTTCACTAGAGAGATCTTCTTTTGAGAGATCTTGGGTTTGGGATCATTTCACTAAGTGTACGGTCTCGGAAATGCAAGAAGTAGAAAAGGATGGAAAGAAAGAGAAGGGGGAGGTACAAGTATTGAAGGCTACGTGTAACCATTGTAGCTCTTTTTTTGCATGTGATACTAGTGGGGGTGGAACTAGTACTTACATTAAACATCTCAATAAACATTGCAAGTCATATAAACCAACTGATGAGTTGCAAAAGGTTCTAGGCAGTTCTGGACCTTCTGGGGATGGCAATGTCAAAAACATGCTTGTTGCTAAAGGGTGGAGCCAAGAAGAAAGTGTGGAAGGTATTATTGAATTTATTGTGCTCGAGGAGATACCTTTTAGTATTGTGGAGAGTGAAGGGTTTAGGCGGATGATGTGCAAAGTCCAGCCTAGATTGCATGTTCCATCTCGGAGAACTATGATGAGGGAGTTATTCAATATGTATGATAGCATGAAAGATCAGTTAAAAAAGGAGATACACAATCATAGAGTGAGCTTGACTACTGATACATGGACAAGTGTGCAAAACTTGAACTACATGGTGCTAACTGCTCATTTTGTGGATGATGATTGGAATATGCACAAAAGGATTCTAAACTTTTGTTTGATTTCAAGTCATCAAGGCAAAGAAATAGGGAAGATGATTGAGCAATGTTTGGTTGAGTGGGGGATTGAAAAGGTAATGTGTATCTCAGTTGACAATGCATCGGCTAATAAGGTGGCAGTTGAGTATGTTGTTCGTAAAATGCAGAAATGGCCTAATAGTAAAATGATTATGAATGGCAAGTTTATGCATGTGAGGTGCTTAGCTCATATTATCAATTTAGTAGTGAAACATGGGTTGAAAAGGTTAGATACAAGTGTGGATGCTTTTAGAAATGCCGTGCGGTTTGTGAGGTCAAGTCCCCGAAGGTTAAGTTATTTCAAGAAATGTGTGGAGAGTGAGAAGTTGGATAGTAGGGGTCTAGTTGTTATGGATGTGCCTACTAGGTGGAATAACACATACATGATGCTAGAATCTTGCTTTAAGTTTCAAAAAGCATTTGAAAGGATGATCGAAGATGATGAAGCCAATATATACACCACCTATTTCAGTGAAAAGGTGCTTAATGATGAAGGAGAAGAAGTGGCGGGTAAAGGGAGGGTTGGACCACCTAAGGAGGAAGATTGGGATAGTGCAGAAGTGTTTGTGAAATTTTTGAAGGCCTTCTATCTTATAACTTTGAAAGTTAGTGCAAGTAAGTATCCCACATCTAATACAGCTCTTCATGATGTCATTGTTGTGGAAAACGAGATTGAAAAGCTTTTTTTGCCTGAATATATGCAAACTGGAAAACCTGTAGAGTTGGTGCTACGTGATATGGCATTCAACATGAGAGCCAAATATCGAAAGTATTTTGGTTCAATTGAGTCCCTTAATCAAATATTTGTAGTTGCCCTTGTCTTAGACCCAAGGTTCAAATTGAGGCACTACATGCACTTGTGCCGAAAGCAGTTACAACTTCCTGAAGAAGAGATTGAACAGAAAGTAATGAAGTGAAGACATTGTTGAAGGCAATGTGTGATGAATATGTTTTCCAAGCTTTCGGTTCACAAACACAACAAAAGGGTAGAGAAGATTTAGTTATTGACACTTCTTCTTCAAGGGTAAAACAATCATCATCTAGTGTGCCAACGGAAAATCCAATGATATTTAGTCAAATCATGGATGATTGGGAGAAGGAACTAGAAGACATTGAGGATATTGTGCTTGCACATGAGGTGGATAGGTATCTCCTTGACACTGTAGAGAAAGTACCACAAGGTTCACAATTTGACATTTTGAAATGGTGGAAGTTGAAGGGGAAGAGCACATATCCCACACTTGCTTTGATAGCGAAAGATGTCTTGCCAATTCAAGTGTCAACAGTTGCTAGTGAGAGTGCATTTAGTGCAGGAAAAAGAGTCATTCACCCTTGTAGATCATGTCTCCTTCCTCAAACAATGGAGTCATTGATGTGCCTTCGAAACTGGATAAGAAGTGAACCAATTGGCAGCATTGAGTATGAAGCAAGTCCTGCGGAGCTTGAATTTTATCAAGAGTGTGAAGAAGGTAACTATTTTGTTTTTAATAGTTTGGTTTATAACTTTATATTAATTGGTTTACAATTAACGTTTGTTCTTTATTGTAGAATATAAAAGAAAAAGAGCAAATACTATCTCTACAAGTTCAACCATCTCACCAAGTGTTCCTGAAGCTCCTCAAACGAATAAAGGAAAAGGAATTGTGGTAATATTTTAAACTCAAATGAATGAACTTTAAATTTCAATGAGGATAATATGATGTTGGACTTTAAAAATGTCATGTTTATATTGTATTTTTGCTTACAGATTCAATGAGGATTGTTGTCGGAACTTGGGCGTTGGAATTTGAAATTTATTGCGGATGTGTGCAATCTGTGCAATTTGTGAAATCTGTGTCTGTGCAAACTGCAATCTATATTCTATGCAATTTTTTTCAAACTGCAATCTGTGCTATTTTTTTTTTCAGTCTGTGCAATCTGTGCACTGCAAAATGCAAACTGCAATCTGTGCAGTTTTTTCAAACTGCAATTTCTGGAATGTGGAATATGTGGAAATTTGTGAAATTTGTGGAATTTGTGCAGTTTTTTTCAATCTGTGCAGTTTTTTGAGAAACTGCAATCTGTGCAGTTTTTTCAAACTGCAATTTATGGAATATGTGAAATTTATGGAATCTGTGAAATTTGTGGGATTTGTGCAGTTTTTTCAAACTGCAATATGTGAAATCTGTTCTGTGTAAAAACTGCAATCTGTGCAGTTTTTTCAAACTGCAATCTGTGTGCAGCAAACATTTTTAAACAGAAAAAAAAATGGACCCGTGTACCCGGACCGAATCGGCCCATTTCAACCGGGCCGGGTAAGGTCCGGTTCCTATTTTCAGAATTTTAATACCCGGCCCGCCCCGCCCCGTCTCCTTTAATTTCGGGTACGGTCCGGTTCCTTCAAAAATGGGCCCGGCCCGGCCCGTGCCCAGCCCTAATCGCGATTGTCGAGACTTCCTAAAGCAACGTCGAGAGAATCCCATCCACATAAGCTCAAAGATCAATGACCCAAGAGTTTCTGAAAGACTCGGTCCTCTCCCACGACCCAGGCCAGTAGTTAATCTAGGGAATGGGCAACAAGTCCCAGAAGAACATGAAGGTACAGGGGACTCGGAAATGTTCCGACATACTCACTCTAGGAGTCAGTGTGACGAGTCCAAGGAAAAATCATGCTATCTTGATCAAACTTTCCTATTTCCAAGAGGCGATGGGAACTTACGAAAGAAAACTTCAGTGGTGCACGACTCCACTCAGGACCCCCTTGTCCTACAACTCTTGGAGGAAGTAAACAAGTTGAAGGCTGAACGTCAAGCTGAGATACCTGACTGGAACCAACCCAGGCCTGGCCCCCTCACAAGAAGGATCCTCAACACCCCCGTCCAAGCAAAGACAAAGCAGAAGCTTGGCTTACAACTCTATACTGGAAAGGAAGACCCGATTGAACACCTTAACCTCTTTGAGTCCACCATGGTATACCGGAGACATACCGACGAAGAACGGTGCCTTCTCTTCCCCTCTACCCTCTCTGGTGGAGCTTTAAACTGGTATTGCCGTCTTCCACCTGAGACAGTAGACTCATTTGAAGAGTTGAGGAAGCTGTTTGTCTCTCAACACATCTTCCAGACTGATCGCTTGCATTCCGCAGATGACTTGTACACTATTCGCCAGAAGCCGGACGAGTCATTACGAAAGTATGCTGGCCGCTTCAGCCATGAGTATTCTCGTTGCGCTGAGGCAGATGACAAGACCGCCTTCAAGGCTTTCACGGCAGGCTTACATGATTGTTTCTTTAAGTACATGATCAATGCCAACACTTGGAAGACTTACTCTGAGGTGATGGCACAAGCTTACAACCATGCCTCCGCCGAGGCAAGGACATATCAAGGGAAACCCCCTACAGTCACCCCTTATCAACAAGTAGGGAGTGGAGGCCAGATCCAACCGAATGAGAAGACCTCAACCTTCCAAACGGTAGCAGCACACCCCCCTGCCTCATTTAATGTTTCGCCAAGTCAGCAGACATATCAATCCCAGGGCAAAAGGAAAGATTTCCATCCTCACCAATCTCATTTTAATAAAAAGAATAAGGGGCACTATCGCGATAATTCAGGATATCGTCACAATAACGCCCGTCCCCAGGCAGTCAATGCAGTGGGCCAATCATATGTCAAGACAGGCCCTACCCCGAGGTATGAGACATACACACCTTTGAACGCTACATGCGCGGCCATCTACCCTAGTATAGCTCATCTGATACCAAAGCCAAAGCCAAGACAGCAAGATTACAAGTCCACGAAAAACACGGGCATGTTTTGCTGCTACCACGAGTATAATGGCCATGATGGCGAGAAGTGCGTCATCCTCCGTGATCATATTGAAGCTTTGGCACGTGAAGGAAAAATTGATCAGTTCCTCCTTCACCCTTCAAGGGATAACCGTAACCAACGCCAGGTGAATGTGATATATTCTATAAGCGGCGGCACACCTATGTCTGAATCTTCCAATAGGGCCATGAAAAACAGTGAACGAACTTTGAGACCTGCCCATCAAGTGTTTCACGTGGAAGACATCAGGGGAGGCAAGTATCAAAAGCCTAACTGGGATCCAATATGTTTCTACCCTGAGGAAGAAAGAGGTATCATCTACCCTCACAATGACCCGCTGATCGTGGAGGCTCACATAGCAAATTTTGATGTGAAACGAATCCTGATAGACACAGGTGCTTCAGTTAATATCATGTTTGCTGAAGCTTTCAAGGCACTTAATGTAGCTGAACACTTGCTCGATCGCTCGATTTCTCCTCTGATAAACTTCTCTGGCGATATCGTGCAACCTTTAGGGAGTATACACTTACCCCTCACCATTGGTACAGGCCCCTACACAGCTACTATTACCACTAACTTCCTAGTGGTCAATTGCCCGACGGCATACAATGCCATCTTTGGGCGCACAGGCATCAATGATCTCAAGGCCATGGTATCCACGCATATGTTATTGATGAAGTTTCCAACCCCCTTCGGCAATGGATACATCAGGGGAGATCAACTTAGTGCTCGATCATGTTACAACACTTCAGTTAAGCAACAACACCTGCCTGTCCCCAAGGAGACCCTCTCTATACATAACCAGGTAGTAAAGACCAGTCCAGATGAAGCCAACTCGGATCTTCATGATGGCAACAGTCAACCCGACGACCCTCGAGATGACTCATTCACCCAGCAAGCACAACCCGCTGAAGAGTTAGAGAATGTCTCTATCTCCAAAGACCATCCAGATCGCATGGTGAAGATTGGCACCACTTTGTCACCACCCCTTCGGTTGTCGCTGATCTCCTTTTTGCAAGAGAACGCCGAGGTCTTCGCTTGGTCATATAAAGATATGCCGGGCATCTCTCCCTATATCATCTGTCACCACTTGAGTATTGATCCTAAGACCAAACCAGTAAAACAGAAGCGAAGATCTTATGATGTTGAACGATACGAGGCGATGAAAGCAGAAGTTGAAAAACTCAAGGACATAGGCTTCGTCCGTGAAGTCAATTACCCAACATGGGTAGCAAATGTTGTCCTTGTTAAGAAAAATCCGACCAAGGAAAGTCTTCTGCTTCAAAAGGTCTTGTGGAGAATGTGTGTCGACTACACCGACCTAAATAAAGGATGCCCGAAGGATAGTTTCCCCCTTCCTCTCATTGATAGACTTATAGACTCTACGGCAGGGTGTGAGCTCTTGAGCTTCATGGACGCTTATTCAGGATACAACCAAATCCTCATGAACCCCTCAGACCAAGAACACACAGCCTTCACTACTGACAGGGGACTATATTGCTACAAAGTCATGCCCTTCGGTCTAAAGAATGCAGGAGCAACTTATCAGAGACTGGTCAATTCAATGTTCGCCGAACAGATTGGGAAGAGCATGGAAGTTTACGTTGATGATATGTTAGTCAAGAGCAAACATGCTGACCAACACATCACCAACCTATCTGAAACTTTCACCATTCTAAAGAGGTATCGAATGAGGTTGAACCCCAACAAATGTGCCTTCGGCGTGGGCTCTGGCAAATTCTTAGGCTTCATGATTAGCCAACGAGGCATTGAAGCTAACCCCGAAAAGATCAAAGCAATCCTCGACATGAAAGAGCCAGTAACTTCAAAAGACATCCAAAGCCTTACTGGCAAGGTGGCAGCCTTAACCAGATTCATCTCTAAGGCCACAGACAGATGTGCTCCTTTCTTCAAAGCACTCAAGGGAAATAAGAAATACATTACATGGACGGAGGAATGTGCCAAGGCATTCAGGAACCTCAAAGAGTACATGAGTAAAGCCCCTCTGCTCTCCAAACCAGAAGTTGGTGACACTCTCATTATCTATCTATCAGTTTCGGCTTCAGCAGTCAGTTCTGTTCTTATTTGAAAGGACAGTGGTGTCGAACGGCCCGTCTACTATGATAGCAAGGCCCTACAAGATGCGGAGACACGATACTCCAACATTGAGAAATTAGCTCTAGCATTGGTCATGTCTGCTCGAAAACTTCGCCTTTATTTCCAAGCACACGCCATCATCGTGCTTACCAATCACCATCTTCGACAGATACTCCAGAGTCCTAACACGTCTGGGCGAATGATTAAATGGGCTATAGCATTGGGTGAGTTTGACATCTCCTACCAACCAAAACCAGCCGAAAAGGGGCAAGCAGTAGCAGATTTCATCGCCGACTTCACATATCCTGTTGACATTGCTTCTACACCTGAAGCAGTAGCTTCATTACCATCGGAAGCTCAGAAGATAGAATCAACAACCCCAGCATGGAGTCTGTATGTTGATGGCTCATCCAACCAACAGGGCTGCGGAGCAGGATTAGTCCTTACTACCCCGGACAAAGTGGCGATAGAATACGTTATTCGTTTCAAATTCAAGGCATCGAACAACGAGGCCGAATACGAAGCCTTTCTAGCAGGCTTACGTCTAGCCAAGCACCTTGGGGTTAAACAAATTGATATCTTCAGTGACTCCCAATTAGTGGTCAACTAAGTCACGAACAACTTTGATGCTAAGGATAGCTCCATGGCAGCATATCTTGCGCAAACACGACTTTTGCTCAAGCACTTCCACTACCAGATCACCCAAATTCCTCGAGCGGCAAACAGTCATGCAGACGCTTTGGCTCGCCTCGCGTTGGCAGTGGAAGACAAGATTGGGAGAAAAATTCATGTCGAATTGTTGGCAGCACCAAGCACCATGGTCGCGGATGTGTGCAATTTACAACAAGGAGATAGTTGGATCACCCCAATTTATAAATTCCTTGCCCATGACACCCTCCCAAATGACAAAGTCCAAGCTAAGCAGATTCGATACAAGTCTGCCCGCTACCTGATCATTAATGACCAACTCTACAAGCGCGGTTTTACCCTGCCATACCTAAGATGCCTTACACCTGCGGAGGCGGAAATTGTCCTTCGGGAAATACATGAAGGAGTCTGTGGA